AAAGTCTAAGTGTATTGAATATTGATTATTAAAAGTCATAAAAATCTAGGTGTATTCAATTAGAATTTTAGAAAGTCAATAACAAATCCACCGAAGTTTAGAGGTATTCAATAAAGACCGTTAAAAATGAATAAAAGTTTGGAAAAGGGGTCAAATAGGCCTTTCTACTATTTCACAACCATTACCTAGACCCATGTACTAAAAAAACATTACATAAGCCCATCTACTTAAAAAAAGAATCAAATAAGCCGAATTACCGGATGATGACCTGTAATAGCAAGTCATTCTCTCTCATATATTATTTTAATTTTAATTTATCTTTTTCTTTGTAGCAGATTTACAGGGAGCCAGGCTTCTCCAATTTTTCATAAAAAAAAATGGAACTTCAAGGGGATTCAAACCCACGACTTGGAGTGAGCAGTTCGTCTAGCATCCCATCTCGGCTACACTTATTTTGTAATAGAACATACTCCCATTGTATATATAGTTTAACGCCTTAAACTATTACTCCTTCCCTCTCCAAACTAGAATTTTTGTGACTTTGTAAAGTTTTTAATGTAGTTTCTTAATATGTAAATTTTTTATAGATATAATTTGAGTGGGGATAGGGATTTTTTTGCTTTATCGTCATTCCAACATCGTAAATCGAATTGTCCCAACATAGTGAGACGGAGGTAGTATTATATATTACGGAGTACTATTTTAGTAAAACATAGGTTTAATATATACTCCCTCCGTCCCATTTATATTGTCCCGGAAGAGGGTGGCACGGTTATTAAAAAAAGTGGGTTTGTGTGGTTGATATTAATTGATAAAGTAAGAATAAAGTAAGAATGATTTAGACCCACACAAATTTTGCCAAATATGGTATGGGACAATATAAGTGGGATTTCCCGAAAAGGTAAAACGGGACAAAATAAATGGGACGGAGGGAGTAAGTATTATTTTCACATATTGTCCATTTAATTCTAAACACATTTTGAATTTTGTCGAAAAATTATATGTTTTCGCTCTTTTCTATTTATTCTTATAAGAATTATTAAATTTTTATTAGTGAAATATATATAGGTGTAGGTCTAGTTATTATATAGTACTATTTTATTAAAACATAGTTTTAATATATATTTATTATTTTCACACATTGTCCATCCAATTCTAAACACACTTTGAATTTGTTGAAAAATTATACTTCCTCCGTTCTTTAATTCTTGCAATATTGTGATTTTTGTACTATTCATAGTTCTTACTTTGATCACAATTTTCTACTAATATACATAATCAAATTATTATGTTTAAAATGTTATTGAATTCCTATCAATGTGAATTTCTAAATTATCAACTTTTTATAATATTTACTAACACATAATTAAATATAATTGCAGTCAAAGTTGTGCGTTGGCAAACGTGAAAGAATTAATAATTTAGTGAAATAATAAACATAAAATATATTTAATGATATACTCGTATTAGATTAAATTTATATGATCAATAGTTATCCTCATTCAAAATTTAATAATTCTTATAAGAATTAATAAAAAAGAGCGAAAACATATAATTTTTCAACAAATTCAAAGTGTGTTTAGAATTGGATGGACAATGCGTGCAAACAATAATTATATATTAAAACTATGTTTTAATAAAATAGTACTATATAATAACATCAAAAAATACCCAAAGTTAGTATATATATATATATATATATATATATATATATATATATATATATATATATATATATAATAGCACTACATCCATCCCACCAATACTGGGATGCAAGGAGGTTGTCACAGTTATTAAGAAAAATGTATTTACTTGGTTCATATTAATTGATAAAATAAGAATAATATAATGATATTTAGATCTACACAAACTTTATCAATTTTGGTATGTGATAGTTTTAGTGAAAAAATTTAGGGAAAGGAAGGAGTAATAGTTTAAGGTGTTAAAGTATTTAGGCTTCCCGGTTGAATTTTTGAAGATAATGATTTTTTGAAGATAACTGTGAAGTTAAACAGTGCAGTACATTTCGAAAAATCATTTGACTGCCTTCCCGGTTGATTTTTTAGCTGAAATTTGGTATGGGTAAACTAGACTTAATGAAGAAGATGTTCAAAAAATTCATCAAAAAATTCCACCGGGAACCGCCCCAATTAGCGACGGCCGAACAGAACATCCTATATAAGGGGCTAATTGAACACTTTAAAGCAGTTCAAGGGCCTATTTGACCCTTTAGCCAAGTATTTATATATTGTGAGTACGTTTTGACATAAAAGCAATGTGGCCGAGTTGGTATTGTTGATCCCAGGTCGTGGGATCGAATCTCTTTGCTGGATTGTTTTTTATGAAAAATTGGAGATGCCAAAATTTGGGTGGGTGGCAATGTGGCATACGTTGGCTGGCTGGCTGCTAATCTCCTAGTATAGAAGTACAGAGTATTACATAAGCCAAAGAAAAGATAAATTAAAATAATATATGAGAGAGAAAGTGACTTGCTATTGCAGGTCATTATCAGGTAATTTGGCTTATTTGATTCCTAAAAGTTTTGATATATTGAAAAAAAATACGGAATATAAAACTCATGGAATTGGAAAATCATTCATATGGATGGATTTGAAAGCCTTTAGTATGAGTAATCATTCTTCATTATTTGCTCATCGTCTCCCATAAGATTTCAGTAGACTTCTAAAGCAATTTTCTTCTTCACTCAATTGAAGCCAATGCAGCAAAGAAAACAATGGCCCTTTCTTCCTGTTTCCATTCTCCCCTTCTCCTTTTGCTTATTCTACTCTATTCATACCCACTGCTCCTCATCTCTCTGCTTTGTGTAGTTGTGTGCGTCAACATGTAAAGCACTGCTCTGCTCCTAATCTGTTCTATCGCAAAATAAGCAGGCGAATTCTGTTACATACACAAGTTGTCTTCTCTCGTGTTCGTTCTGTAAAACCCTAATCACCCCCTAAAAAATCAGTTGTTGCACGGTTCTTTCCCCAGTATTGTAAAATGGTTCTCTTTCATTTGTGAATATAATTTGGGAATCATGATAAATCTATACTAGTGAAGTTCTGGTGTTTCATTCCCATCCTTGAAAGTTAAGGTGTTATTGAAAGCCAGGAGTGGTTTCAGGTTTGATTTATGTTCATATATGGGTTTGCTTTCAAGTTTTTCAATATGGTTTCTTTCCCGATACATATGTACGAAGTATTTTGCTTCTGAAGCGTTTCTTGGTTGTTGGTTGAATTAGGGCTGGGTCCGGAAAACCGAAAACCGAATCAAATTAAACCAAACCGTGACAAAAAAAAACCGAATCGCTAAAAACCGAAACCGAATGTAAAAAATCAAACCGAGCCGTAGTTTTTTTGTTCGGTTTTGGTTTTTACCCTTCAAAACCGAACCGAACCGAACAAACCGAACTAATTAAAATACGAAGTATGAAATTTTATTTGTTAATTTTTAATTATTAATCCTAATATCATCAATAGTCTTTGATTTTTTTGTGCTACAGAAATAATGTTTATGTTATGTTTAGTTTATAAATGCGTTTACTCATTCATTTGCCCATAATAATGTAGCTATATTGATCGATTATGTCTTTTATGTATGTATGTATGTTGCAATTTGTTGCATGATTATTGTTTTTAGAGGTTATTAGTAGTAATTAAATTATATTTTTATGTAACTTGCATTTTTTACATTGATAAAACAAATAAATATTCATCTCAGCTATATCACATAATCACATATGATGTATGTATTTATAAACTTTTTTCAAATTAGTCACAAACAATGTTAATTAAGAATATATACGCTTATATCTCTCCTGCATACTCATATGATTCAAGACATGTTTTTTTATTCTTATTTTTACTTCATTTATTCTAGTATGCTTGTATTTTTTTATGTAATATGTTTGATCCCCCCAACTATTATATCAATTTTAAATCAAATGACAAATTTTTGGTAAAAAACCGTAAGAACCGAAACCGAACCGAAACAAACCGAACCAATCAAACCGTGGTTCCGAGTTTTGGAGTGTAAAACCGAACCGAACTTTTACTTTGGTTCTGTATTTGGTTTTAGGTAAAAACTGAACCGAAAGAACCGAACTCACCCCTAGGTTGAATGGTTGGTGCTTTTTTGTTATAGAGATAATTATCTTAAGGGGGTGTAAATGTGTTATGTGTATTAATATCTGGGTCCATTAGATTGGAAGGTCTAGTTCCGGACCGGGTAGAGTGGGCAATTTATTTCAACTTGTCCAATCGTTGGAGATCGGACTAGGCCCAAGAGTGTCTGGGACCAAAACCATCCGAATAACTCGGGACAGGCTTGTATTACCCTAGTACAGTCAGGTTCCCCACAATCACAAATAATAATCCATCACCAAATGCTTGTATCACATCCAACAATGAGCCTAACATTTATTTTTCCTACCTATTGACTCAGATTATGTAATACGGAGTAGGGGTGGACTCGGGTCGAGCGGCCCGACCCGGTACTGTTTGGGCCCGGCCCGGACTGGTTGGCCGGTCTTTGGGCCGGTTCAGGCCTACTGAACCGCTCAATTCCCGGGGCGGGCTCGGGCCTCCTAAAAGTGGAACCGGCCGGTCCAGGCCCGGTTCGGGCCAATTTTTTTTTTTTTTTCAATTTTTTTTTTCTACCGGGTTGGGCTGGGTGTTTTGGGGAGTGGGGGTGAAGGGGGGGCGGGGCGGGGGGGCGGGGGTTAATTACAAAAGCAAAAGAAAATAAATAAAAAAACAACATTGAACCAGAACCGGCCCGGCCCGAAACCGCTGCCTACCTGGGCCGGTTCCGGTTCTCCCTTCCCGGTGAAAAAGCCCGGCCGGGCCCAGGCCCGAACCGGAACCCGCCCGGGTCCATCCCTAATACGGAGTAACATATTGTAACAAAATTGAATTTCCGAATCACCTTATCAATAGAGCTTTTGAAAAAAGAATAATCTTGAATGTTTGCACCGACTTGTTCTTGCAGAAGTCTTCATTACTGAGTGGACTAGATCAACTTTTTACTTTTTAGTACAAAGTTTTTACTGTAAATGTGCTATAAAAATGCAAAAAGAGATGTCAATATAAATAATGAGTTCAGGTTCAATTAGAGCTCGGGTCTGAATAAATGGAATGAAGAAGCGCAAACCAATACACATAAAAGAAAAGGTTCAGATCAGGTCTGGTCTAGACCTGATCTATTGATGGGCCTAGCTGTTAGTTGTATACTCGTATGTAATTGTCTTTTATCTCTAAGGAAAAGTGGCACAGATATTCTAAAAGCCTTCCGCCCGGTTTTTTCTTTTCACAACATAGCACTACCAGAGTACCAGGCAATGGTTTACAGAAATAGTCATGTCACGATCAGAGAGGAACAAAGGAATTCTCAATGTGGCCATTGGGCTCCAGATGGGAAAATTGACCAATATCATGCCCATCGATTGATTCAAATTCATCGTGCAAACCAGCAGCAAACCCTTCAGGACGCTCTCCACCACTTTGCATGTAATCAGCAATCTGCAGAATGGAATAAAATGAAGCATTAAAAAGAACACATCCCATCTAATCTAGAATGTTACTCCTTCCATCCCATGAAAAGTGTTACAAAAAACTATTCACACGCAAAATAAACTGATAAAAGTAAGCATAAAATAGAGTGGAACTGTGGAACTTAGAATCCTTTTCACTGCACCATGTCTTTTGGTGCACTAGTTTTGAATCCTTTTCCTAGTTTTGGTGCATGTTCCTTGATTACTCTTACTCCCAAAATGGTTATAGGTAGTAGGCTTAGATTGTGCACTCCTATATCGTATCCCAAGTTACCATATATGCATAACACCCACTAGTATGTATTGAAGATTCGAGGAACATATAGCAGTTAGTGGCAGCTTCTTCTTGATATTAATTTGCCTGTTTACTTTCTTTAGTTTCACTTATTTAGAAGCAATCACCCTTTGACAAAAAAACAGAGAGCAAGGGTACAGAAGTGAGAATACATGATTAGCAAGAGCCATCCCACTTAAGGCTGCGGCTTCTAAACTTGAACCGAGTAACCAGTCACCACATACACCTGCTCTTCCATAAGGATCAAAGATGCAAGGAATGCTGGGAGTGTTTGTAGGAAGTGCTGCACCCCTGAAAATTAGTAACATTAAATGACTTATCATTCCTGGAAAAGCAATCTAATAGCACATAAGTTGAGAAGATCCGCACACAGAATTGTGAGCTTAAAGAGAAAATATATTTTACTTATTTAAGATTGTATACAGCAATAGCCGTTCCCTGGTACAAGGATGTACATGTCTTAAATTACAGCTCATGAGCTCATCTGTATAAATAAATATCTTGAACTAAATCCAAAACACATGATCCTTTAGCCTTTGTAACTTGAAAACCAACCACACTACAGAGCAAAATGGTATACTGTACTTTTAAGAAAACCAAGAGTATTACCAGTTACCACAAAGAAAGCGATAGTAAAACTAGTAAAATCACAAATAATCAAAATGTTCATCAAAGCTGCATTTTCCAAAGTTGTAGAAAACTTTTGAACGTTAGAAAATGGGCTCAAAGCAACTTATGCAAAGAAGTGAAGAACAGAATATATACAGCAACTTTTAATTGGATAGAAGTTAATTTAATGGCATATATATTACTACCTCCGTTCCCCTAAAATTGGGACAAAGGAGAGTGGTGCGGATTTTAAGAAAAGTAGAGTTATGTGGTGATAATGAATTGATAAGGTGGGAATAAAATAAGAATGAATTAGAGCCACACAAATATTACTAAATATGGTATGAGACAAATTTTGTGGGACGGACGGAAAAGAAAAAATGGGACAATTGTAGTGGGATGGAGGGAGTAATATATATTAAAGACAATACTCTTGTATTGATTTGCATTAAATGCCAGTATATAGAATGTTTGCCTTTCACTTCAACCTGATAAGTTTTATTAGTCATCATTAAAAAACAACTAACATAATAGTTAAAAGATTTCACTTTACCATAACTGTAACCGAGTATAGGATGGACTTTTAAGTGATCTGTGTGGAAGTCCTAATGCTTTTTCAACGCCCTCAAGCATAGTTTCCTTCACTTTCACAGCTGTATCAGTTGGAATACTTTCCTAATAAAATTGCAATATGTGTCAGTATTAAACCAAGAATATCTTTGGTAATACAATTGCAATAATCACAAATATTGAACACAGACATCTTTTGATTCAGGTTTATAGATAAACTCTCTCTCTCTCTCTCTCTCTCTCTCTGCCTTCTTAGTAGGGCTGCACAAGAATAACCCGAACCTGCATAACCCGCCCGACCCAACCCTACCCGACCCTATTTAATCGGGTATTTGATTTTAAAAAATATTCATGGGTTAAATATGTTTGAACCCGCACCTAATGGGTAGGGTTGCGGAATTAAAATCTCAAACCCAATAGTACCCGACCCGGTCGAAAGTTCATTTTACTATTATTATGCTACAATGTTTTCTTGGATAATTTCAATTTAAGACAAATGTGCTCTATCTAGGACTTTATGATATTAGAATTATAATTAAACATTTACCATTTTGACTAGGTGATTATTATATATTTATGTTTCCTTCTCAATGAACTTCCTTTACGGAAGGATGTTTTAATACTATTACCTAATGTTTTTGCTTATAAAAGATACAAGTACTTGTATTTGTTTGTGTGTTTTGGAAACAAGTTAATCGAGTTTCAAATTAGTTACATTGATATCCCACATGAAAGATGCAACCCGAAGTTTTTTTTTTCAAAACCCGACCCTACCCGACCCGATCATGTATGGTTTACCAACTTATTTTGCGTACTGCGGGTTGGTTAATAATCAACCCGAACAAATTGGGTAGACCCAACAAATATAGCAAACCCGACCCAAGTACCGGGGAATGCAAAGTGAATTCCTCTGATCAATTTAGATCTTATATTAAAAAGATTCTCCTGCCTGAAAATCTATCCGCGCAAGTAACGCGGCCTAGCTGATATCACTATGGCATTAATAAAAGGTACAATCGTATTTAAATTGCTGAAGGAGAGAGAGAGATGCCAATTGCACAGGTACTGAACTGATCAAGAATTATTGGAAGTAAATAAAGTAAAAAACTGTTGACCCTGTATAAATAAAGCCTACTAAATGAGGATGTCACAAATCACAATGGCACCCAAATTATTTCATACAGCGTATTCAATTTTTATTATTATTTGTCATAATCCATGCCTCATCAAAATTTACAGTTGCAAATAGGTCAAACACAAATTTTGCAGATGTTGGTAGACTTATAACCTTGTCAATTTTACCCTTAGAGCATGGCTCATAATATCATATGTCCCTGCGCAAAATCATATACAGGGTACAAGGGTTGACATGAGTCTCAAAGACTAATCTGTCAATCTACCTCTAGATCTGTTTTTAACCATCATTCTTCTGGCCTGCATTCCACCAATCTCCAGGTCAATTATTTGATCATTCGAGTCATCCTAGTATTTAGAATTCAATTTTTACATTTAGAGTGAGAGCCATGCTAATCTGGCAAAGAATCTTAAAAGTCATTTGAAATAAGGATCTGGGCAAGTTGAGATACTTTCTGTTAAGGATACATTCCGGGGCAAACAATCCAGCAGGCGACAGGACCAAGAACAAACCCAGAATCTTGCAGATTCATACCCGGACAGTGAGCCCAAATATGATGGAAAACAAAGTGGCTAAAAGAAAATATAAGTTGCAGGAATAATTAATCGGTAATCTTAAGTGTTGCATATTGATTAGGAAACTACTAATAATTAATTATTAGTTTATTACTATTATTCCTATTTCCGTTTTAGGCAACTTCCTAATTATACTGTTATTACTATTTCAGTTTTGAACAACATCCTAATTATTATTTGTCTTTAGGAATCTTATATTAGCCTCTATATAAGGGTTGTTATTATTATTATTATTATTATTATTATTATTATTATTATTATTATTATTATTATTATTATTATTATTATTATTATTATTATTTTTATTATAAATAAAGTACTTTTGGAAGAATTGATTTTGTGTGTCTTGACTACGCAGACATTAATTTAATATTTTAATTCCTGCTTAAGATTTCAATTCTTCAGAAATCATAGATTTCAATAACACAGGTTCTTAACAATTTGGTATCAGAACCCGGGACAATGGACAATGACGCAGCAGGAGCCGAGGCATTGAAACACATGATTGAGGCATTGACCAACACCAGCTACTGTCGAACACCAGCTGACTGACCTGCAGGATTGTGTCGCTAAACTGGTATCTCAGTCCGTTAGTGGTATAGTCATTTCCCTGTGAAAGTATGCCCAGAATGTTCATGAAGAAACCAGCTTGCTTGATTGAAGACATGTATATAATCCTAACGTCAAACTTCCTTTCAATGAGTGGCAGCTAATATCTATCCAAGGCAATAGAGGGAGACTCATTGAAAAGTTGAACCATCTTACCTTCACAACATGGTATCTCTTGTATGCTTAGTGTGCTTAGTCTGTTTATAGCTTATCCACATAGTTGCTATTGGCATGCTGTTATTTGGATCTTGAGATACATCAAGGCATTGGGTCAAAAGATTTCATTTCCAGATTGTTGGATATTCTGATGTTTAATCGGAAAGTTGTCCACAAGACAGGCGTTCTACATCTTCATATTGAGTATTGTAATTTAATAACTCAAAAAAAAGGAGAAAAATAAAATAAGCACTACCAAGATACGTAGCGAAGCTAAGTGTCGTGTTATGGCCTAGGCAATGTATGAGCTTGTACAGTTGAAGCACTTACTAATGGGAATCGACAGAGAGTAGCAGCAATGCGCAAGTGAGTGAATTGACTCTTATATTTGATAACCAAACAGCATCCACATGACCTCAAACTCACTATATTCTGAAAGGGCCAAGCTGGTCGATTGTCACTTCACGAAGGAGAAGATTGTGCTCCGACACACCATTACATTACATTTCATTTCATTTTCATTTACCCCAGTGCCGCAAAGGCTCCCACCTACGGTGGGGTAAGGGGGGGTCGGATGTACGCAGTCTTACCTCTGTACTAAAGCACAGAGAGACTGTTTCCGGATGACCCATAGTGAAAAACGCGTCCAAAATTGCATGGACTAACCGCTGCTTCATAACAAAGAAGCAGCAGACAGTTTAGAGAGCCATTTTGCTTTATTCCGACACACCATTACATGCTTCATTAATTTTCTGGTCCTCTTGTACGTCCCAGAATGGGGTAATATTTTGCGACAAGTTGGAGCAATATGACTTATATTGTTTCGACTCGAGAGGGAGTGCGAAGAAGACTAAGTGGTAGTAAGAAGTCAGCTGGTTTTATAAGGTTAGTTGAAGGTTAGCTCATACAAACACGATATATGTGAGAACTACCTGTGGAACTTTGTTTTGCATTCCAAATGCTGCTGTGCTCAAAATTGTCCAACAATGAGGACCAATAGTCTTGAAACCCGACAGTTTCTTGGTATTGTTTGCCATCCATGAGACAGAATCAACCCCTTTAACAAAGGCTCCCTCAAAGCTAGCAAAATCTGCATTGGCTATTGGAAGGGGATCCTCAAATGTTGTGAGAAGAGCCCATATCGAACTCAACTTAAGTCGCTGCAAAACATGAAGATATTAAACGGTCATAGGAGATACAGTTGAATAGTTGATTGCTTAAACAAAGCTTAGAACTTTTGGGGATTGATTACAGTGTATACCAGAGTGACTTATGTGATTACCTTCATTTGTCTTGCAATTATTGGAAGACCTGATGATGCAAGCAACCGATTTGCACATTTTCCTGGTTTAATAATGCACCAATACATCCAAAACATAAATATCAGCAGAAATGTAAAACACATCAATTGAGATTTTTTTAAATGTGGCTTAGCTTCTATGACAGGGTTGTAGTACTTCCGCAAATGCTTACTCCATCAGCTATGTAAATTGAAAACAGAACAACCATACCAGCAAAAAGATACTACTTGGTTTTGTTCAAATCTACAACATATCTGCATTACAAGCAGACCTATATGCAGACCTATACCCCATAAGTAGCCTTAGCATACCCTATAGCAGACCTAGGGTTAAAGTACATTTATTGTACACCTCTGTCTTCTACTCGCCTATTTACTCTCCTGTATATCATAGTTGTATCAAGTGAGCAAAATAAATGGTATTTTTTCATTAGCGGGATTGAAAAAGAAATGATCATTCATGAGAGGATCGAATATACACTCAGACAATGTTAACTTAACTTGACTGACTATTAAGCACGGTGCTTATTAAGCCTTATATTAGTAATAAACTCATGCTTAATGAATAAATTAAGGGAGAAATCCCGAAATAAGAGTAAAGGCCTGAAAATTCCAAAATAGGACCGTCATGTTTTTATTCCCAAAATAGGAGTAATTACCGCCAAGTTTTGGAAAATACTGCCATGTTTAAACTCTGGTACTGCCAAAACATGGCAGTAATTAGTCCTATTTTGGAAATAAAAACATGATAGTCCTATTTTGGAATATACAAACGTTTTAGTCCTATTTAGGGTAATTTCCCATAAAATAAACACGACTACATAATAATGAATTGTTTACTCCATAGTCATATTAGCCTCATTAATGCGTCCATACATTTACTTTACACTTTACAAAGGTTGAAGCATGTGTTGAGCTAAAATGGCATGGTAGTCGTTCCCAAACTGAGGTATGGTGTAGAGACATGGAGTACGAAGTTGTACGGGCTTCAGGTCACCAACACTGATGGTCGCTATCTGATGGTGGTGGCTTACGTTCTGCCGACAACAAAAGCAATGCATATCAGACCATTGGTAGAACGAAAGCGATGAGGCAAGTAGAGGACTCAAAAACAGCATCCATACAGTGATATAGGTGGAGTAACACACAACGCTATATGACATCCAGTGAGTAGAGGAAGTGGTGTGGCTGAGGGGTGACAAATGGAAATGTCAGTGGAGGTAGAGGCCCAATGGCCAACAGCGGCAGAGGCTCAAAGGTCGACAGTTACAAAGGTCATCAAAAGGCAACAAGGGTGATGGTGGAGCTCTGGCAACTGACTGAGACCATGGAGTTCATAAAGTGGATCCTGCTGCCTGCCTCTAAAAGGGTTAGCAGAAGTCGCGTGAGGTTGGGAGTACACGTTGATTCAAATATTGCCGTGTCTAAGGATCATGTAGTAATTATAGAGAAACTTAAAGCACCATCTAAATAATACATGGGGTCATGGGAATATGGGATTATCAGGCAACACTTGAAGCGACCAACCTGGATAATAAGCGGTAGTTACGCACCTCATGTGCTAATTTCACTTCCATAATTACCTTGACTGCTTGTTTAGCAGCAAAGTAAGCATGTTCACCAAGTGAAAGGGAATGTTTTTGAGATACATAAAACAAAATCCAAAATGAACAAGGATTTACTGAAATGGATAAACTACTAAGAGAAAGTGTACATAGTTACCATTATGTGCAATGACAACTGCATCAAAGTGGCCACAAGATTTCCCATTCTCACTTAGGTGCCATGTCCCATTATATGGATCAAGGGCACTAATCCAACACGGACGTACAACTTTGACTAAGCTAGTCTGCATCACATCCAAATTTCCAAGATTTAAAAAAAAAGGCAGCCCGGTGCACGACAAATTTCAAGGATTCTTAGAGAAAAATACGCAAGAGTGATAGTTCTAGAAATTCACATGAAATAATATTTTGATAGCTTTTGTCTAGACTTAAAGCATCAAGTGAATACTATTAGTTCCATACATCCAGTTGGCTTCTTGGCTAGAAATTAAATATAAAAAATTGAAAATGGAAAAGATTAATGGTCTTTTTTCTACACCCAAAGCTTGTCCCTTGAGCAGCAGGTTTTTGCTTCAATACTATAATAGTACAATATGACAACAACAAATGATATAGATAAGTTGCCCGCAACTAAAAATTATGGTGGACTGCTTAAAATAAAAATAGGCATTACAAGATTTAGAAGGTTAGATGATAAAAAAAATGATTTAGAAGGTTAGATTATCAGACATCCATTCAAGGTGATATCTCGAGTCTAAATAGCTTGGCTGGCCTGGGCAACCTGGAATTAATGTGATTAAAAGGATATTCATAATCAGTAAATTGTGGTGCTCATTGATGGCAAAAATGTACACAATGTAGCTCAACCATCGGTGGTCGAAAAGATGCAACTTCCTGTAGCACCAATATTAACACTTTTTGTTTACGTTGTTACTGGTAATTTTCTAGAGTGTGACTGGTGGTGCAAGGAAAGCAGTTTGCATTAGGACTGTTCTTCCCATAATGGATCCAGATTTTTTCCCTTGCTGTACAGTGACTACAAGAACTGGGTAAGGCTACACACGATTATGCTATGTTGATAAAGGAATTCAGGTGGAAGGGTAAGGAAATTTTGCTACGTGGTGACTAAAATACAGAGCCGGGGAGAACTTTCACTTACGGGCCTCGGTCCAGAAGGATGATATACACGGTTTCTTTCAAATATTCCAGTTAATGAGCAATGTGGCAGCGCACAATCAGGACCTGAATTTCCAGAAAGTTCAGGTCTTCACTCAGCCCACAGGCCCTCCCCCACACACACCACTTGTTTGATCATGAGATTCATTTAATGGAAGGGTCAAAGGCTTCAAAGCTGATGAGCACTCGCCCTTATAGATATCCTCATTTCCAGAAGGGTGAGATCAAGAAGATGCCAACAAAACTATGAGGGGACTGGAAAAAAAAAGTCATACTAAGTCATAGGTCTTTCATAGTGTTTTCATGTACCTTTCTACCCATTGAATCACTGACACTATAGCCATGCACAGTATCATCTGATGGACACACCTGTTAGAAGGAGTGAAGGCATTGGAATAAAAGATGAAAGATAGAGAGAAAGAGCTAAGTTGACTAGGGAAGGGACATGCAGACAATAGCTCTTGTGTCTAATAACATGGCCCTCAATGAGAACAGGTGGTGTTGCTTGTTCCACCTTTGATGATATGCTAGCCAGTAGCACTGACATGCTTGGTGCCATTGGTTCCTCTGGTAGTTTGCAGCAATAGTAGCTGTCAGTAGTTCATATAAACTTGTAAAAAATAGTCTCTCAACAACTATGGTCGTTTTAGTTTTTAAAAAAAAGACTTACTTTGGCTTCCTGAGTGTCTTCTTTATCAGAATCTTGAATCATGAAAAATAGAAAATCTGAAGGAATAGATTTGCAAGCATTATTCCTTCAATATAAATGAATAATAAAAATATAGGTTGAAGTAAGAATTAAAATATCCAGAACTTTCTCAAATTTGATGTTTTTATTATATAGTGTTTCCCAATAACAGCTCCATTGAAGAATACAAGCGCAAGGTTGAGGTATCCAAATATATGTTGAGAAATCAGATGGAAAAATCGAGTTAGACATGTGGAACCGCCTTCAGATTTACTGTTATTACTTATTGTGCAATTTAATCCCTGTAAGAACATGTCTCATTTGTGTTCAGAAATTATCTTATTTGCAAAAATAGTCCCAAAACACTTCACTTTTTTTACCTCAGAGGGGGTCGAGGGGAGGGGGCTGGGGTAAACTGGGATCAAACTCACTCCATTGAGTATTGAACCCGGGACCTCCCATAAGGGAGATTGAGTCGGCGATCAGCTGAGCTTCCTGTCCCAAAACACTTCACTGCTTCAGTAATATTTCATGAGACTTCTGGAAATGTACATGTGTAATCATTGAGAACCATAATTAATCCTTAATTAAATAATACTATGTACTACGTAACACTCATTGGGACCTTTTCTATACCGAAAAAGTTGGAGAGTCAAATAATACCGATTAAGAGAGTAGAGAAAAACACAAATCTCATTTCCTTCTCCAACCTCTCTTCCCTCTCATAACCCTATCCCCAGGTCAAGTTTGCGTGATTACATAGGAATTAGGAACCAAAGTGCACTCGCTCAAAATCCATCACAGGAAATGACTAGGCATCCCACTTAAATGAAAAAATGTTAGGCACCTGGGACAGTATTGAATCTGCAAGTGGGCGCATTCCATTGACCCCTATATATCTTGGAGGTGAAGAAGATGGAAAAGGGGTGAATATCCCTCCGTTTTGAAGCTCCCCAATTGTACCATGCCACTGTTCAACCAGGCCCCTGTTGGACCAGTCATTTACCAACTCTGAGAAGCTGGGATCATTCACAGTGAAGAACTGAGCTGCATGGTCAAATATCAATGATTGGGGATCAATTATCCGTGTGCCCATTCTTCCACCTAAGCCATGAATTCCCTAAAGCACGCCCAAAATTTAAAGGAAAAAAAAACAATGAGCTACAATAATATAAGTATCTAAAGGGACATATGTGTAACTTAATTGTTACAGAGCACTAAATAGCACAATCTAAAAAATATTTTGCAAACTGCACAGAAAGCCATGTACCCTCTTAGGAATTCGCATTCCTCTCATCTGCAACTGAATACTCAAAGCATTTTGAATAAATGGAAACTAAAAACGACCAACCGAATCAAAAACGGTGGACGGGATGCCTCTCTTATCCAAGTAAAGCGCGCAGACCAGGCCAGACATCCCACCTCCAATAATCCCAACCACCGGGTCATCGGGAACCCGATTAGCGAAGCTCACCTGCTCCTGCCTGAAGGTCTTTTTAAGCGCTGACCTCCGGGAAGTTCCGTGAGAAGACTTGGGCTTCGAACTTTTCGGGCTTGTGGTTCTGGCTCTGTTGGCCGAGTGATTGATAGCCTGTCTCCCGCCGGAAGGCCTCGGGTTGTCGGAAGCTGTGACGGAGAAGCTCCAAAATGGGGGAACAATTCTGGAGAATCGAGGAAAGGAGGAAAAGTTGTTAAGCAGAGTGTTGTGGCTTGGCTGGAGAAGGAAATGAGTGGACGGGAAATGGTTGAAGGCGCTGGCGGGAGCCATGGCCAACGAGAAATGGAGGGAAAGAATGGATAGACAAAGAATGGGAGCGACGGGTAATGGGCCGGGTTTGAGGAGCTGTTATGATAATCATTCTTATTATTTATTGTTTATTCTTATTTTATTCAAATCAGATCAGATCAGAAAAATTCAGATCAGATCAGATTATATCAGAAAGATTCAAATCAGAAACATTCAGATCAGATCAGATGAGAAAAGTTCAAACATAATTTATCACTTTTATTATTATATTAATTATAATAATTATTATAATTATTTTTTTCCCGTCATTTGCAATGGAGCCAAAGATTCATTATTTTTTGGCTTGAGAATATGATGGAATAAAGCAAAATGGCTCACCAAACTGATTGCGCTTCTTTGTTATGAAGCAGCAGTCAGTCAATGCAATTTTTGGACGCGATTTTCATTATGAGTCATACAGAAACAGTCTCTTTGTGCTTTAGTACAGGGGTAAGACTGCGTACATCCGACCCCCCTTACCCCACCATAGGTGGGAGCTTTTGCGGCACTGGGGTAAATGATGATTGATTGATTGATATTATAATTATTTCATTATACGGAGTAATTAATAATAATAATAATAATAATAATATGTTAATAATAATATTATTATTATTTTAATATAATAATATAATATAATATAATAATAATATAAAATATTATAATAATAATATAATAATAATGATATAATAATAATACTAATATAATAATATAATATTATTTGTTATTTATTATTCTTATATTATTATTATATTATTATTGTGGTTGTTGTAATTATTATTATAATTATTATTATTAATATAATAATAATAATAATATTATGGTTGTTGTAATTATTATTGTCATACGGAGTGATTAAAATTATAATTATAGAAATAAATATAATAATTATACTTACACTTATAATTATATAAGTAATTATATAATTAATTATGATTATATAATTAAAAATATAATTACAATTATAATTGTATCTATAGTTATAATTAATATAATAGGTATAATTATTAAAATTTTGAATTTAAGTTTAATTACTATTATTTTTTTTGTAATTGTGGTTATAATTATAATTTTATTTAAATTATATTTATAATAATTATAATTATAATTATAGAAATATTCAAATCAGATCATGTCAGAAAGATTCAGATCAGATCAGATCAGAAACATTCAGATCAGACCAGATCAGAAAGATTCAGATCAGATCAGAAAGATTCAGATCAGATCAGAAAGATTCAGATCAGATCAGATCAGAAAGATTCAGATCAGATCAGAAATATTCAGATCAGAACTTAAAAAATTCATATCAGAAACATTCAGATCAGGTGAAGAGAACAGCTTCTAAGCCTTTAAGCTTCAACCAGAAATATATCAGACGTTTTTTGTTGGGAAAACTATCAAATAGGTCTTCGAACTTTCATAAAAAAAGGTTATATAAGTCCTTATATAAGAGGCTCCGTCTGGTCGTCGCGATTTGGGACAGTTCCCGATAGCATTTTTTGATGAAATTTTTTTAGAATCTTATTCATCAAGTCTAGTTTACTCATACCAAATTTCAGCTAAAACTTCAATCGGGAACGCATTCAATTAATTTTTGAAGATAACTGTGCAGTTAAAGTTAGGGTGTTTGATAAAAAAAAAGTGATTTTTAATGTATAATTAGATTATGTACCTAATTTATTTCCTACATGAGAGCGGACGGTAGCTCTTGTGCCTAGGGTTTGGAGCAGCGATCTCGATTGTCCACGGTTTTTCTTTCTCTTGCACGGCAGCGACAGCAAGGTGACATGATGGACTCCAGCAATAGCGAATGTCAATGGCAGAGTGTGTCACTAGGCCGACAACAACAAAAATCAAAAGTTCAAGCGGCAGGAGGCCAGGTTGTACACCAGCGGCAGGAAGAGATAGACGTCAGAGATACCCAGTAGGTATGTGATCAGTTGGGATTGAAGGCGAATGGCGAAGCGTTATTGGTCTGTCCCCCTCTTGAACCGCCCCCAAAGAAGGAACGAGCGGCTAGGGTTTGGATGCTTCTTTTAGTTAATTCTGCTTGTTTCATTTGTTATTTTATCGTTCAGCACTTATGGATTAATTTTTGCTTTGCAGACACTAGCGGTAGTTTCTTTGTTTGTTTTATTTTCATTATTCAGGTTAGGTTTGTGGGTGGAAGTGATGAGACTTGTATGACCGTTAAAAGCTTTGAAACTCTCACATGGTTAGCGATTAGTCACCCTCTTTTTAGAGTGGTCTATTCTATGTCTAGTCAGAGAGTGGAAGAAGCGTTTAGCCATGCGGAGCCTCATAAGGAGGTTTGACGTTTTGTGATTGTGGGTTTGTTGTAATTATCGATTGCTATAATATAATTAGTTTCATTTTCTAAAAAAATGTATGATTGGATTAAAGTACACAAAAGTCAGTACACAAAAGTCCTTTCATAAATTGTTTTGAAGCTCCTTTACATAAATGATATGAAGTAGAAATACGTACTAGTATATACTACGTATCATTGTGTCCTCAAAAAATTGGTCCCCTCTATTTCCTTCCCTGGAGATAAAACGCAGCATCCCCATACCAGGTAACGATTTCTTTGCTGCCAGAGAATTAGGTCGGTCGGAATGAGAGGACTTTTTCCATTTTCAATTTATTAATAGCTCCCCTAATTGGATGTGCGAGAAGCCGGCAGCACCCAATTTCTTTACCGCCGAAGGCCTTGCACCATATATATGGAAGGTTTTTTGGGATACAATAGGGGAGCCAAGAGAAACAAATGTGATACAACTGAGCGAAATAGATGACAGGTATAAGGAAATATTTGGTTGTGCAGACTAAAGTAGCCATTATAACTGTGATGTTTGACTTTTCAAAATAATAACTATGATGTTTGATTTATTAACAAATAAATGTGGAAGCACTTAGAAGCGGTCAAATACTGAGATGTTTGACTTTAAAATGTTTTTTTTAAGTAGAAGTTGGTGTTTGAAAACACTGTTATAATTTTTTTAAGTCAAAAGTTGAAAAACACTTAGTTTAATCTTTAGCAAATAGGAAATTATTATACTCAGATTGTAAAAAAAAATGAATGATACCCCCCCCAAAAAAAAAGTAACTTTCAAAATATATTGGAGATCTAGATAGTGAAAATTATGACAATAATGAGTTTAGCAGAGGACGGAAAATATGTAAGAATTATTGTAAACTACAAATTATTTGTCAAAAGGAAAGTCAAAATTATTTTGAGACGGACGAAAAATAAAAGTAGGAAGATAATATGGAGATGGATAGAGTACTACATATTTGTAGATGTGATACTAATCGGGTTGCATAATGTGGGATACCTATTTAAAATTTTAACTTTCGCAGTTTATCCACTAATGTCCCACTAATGTGATATGATGTACACTTTTCCCCTAAACATCTACTATCTCTGTCCCACTAATATTAGAGCATAATAATATTATGAAAAGTGAGTTTGTGATGCTGATATTGAATTGATAAAGTAAGAATTGATTTAATATGTCAGTCTTAATTGGAATGGATTCGATGGAGTTTAGTTACACTAAACCGATGTTTATGAAAGGAGAGGATTTTTAATAATGTGGGTGCCCATACCATTTTTTGTACAAATAATCCCGCATGCCCTTAAGTGAACAATTAGGTAAACTTCTAGTGACAAGGATTCGAATTAGTGACCTCAAATTACTTTTGATCGTGAGTTCAAAACGGTTTAACTTTGACACCTTGAAGGTTGGGAGAAGGGATTTTAACACCAACATTCTTGGTGTACAAACTTTACTGTTTTACACACTTGTACAAATTGCCTATGAAGATTGTTTTTTTACAGACGAAATGTGTTTTGTCTATATAAACAAAACACGTTTTGTATGTGACAAACAAAAGAAGCCTTTACAAACGATGTGTAAAGTGTATAAACACTAATAGTGTACAAAATGCTTTTTTGTTTTAACGCTCCCCAGTGTCCTATGGTTAAGGGTCAGTAGCAACACAGCAAGAAGTGGGTAAGCCATAAGCACCAAGACAGTACTATGTAATTTATGAACTTTTCCCATGAAAAAGTATCACTATAGTCTGTGCAACTGTGCAAGTTACTTCTATGGTTATCAATTGTTTTATACTACCATTACATTAACATTGGGCCATGAGGATGTTGTGTAGTTATTAAAAGGGATGGTTTATATGATTGATAATGAATTGATAAAATAAAAATAAATTGAGAATGATAATTTAGAACCACATAAATATTATCAAAATTGGGACATATTGAAAAGAAAAAATTGAGATAATGTTAACGAAATGAAGGGAGTAGCTTATAAGCTGTTTGATTTGTTGTTTATTAATTGCATTTTATTCTTGTCAATTATTTATAGTTCTAAACATATGACCAGCCGTCTGCTAATAGAAAACTTTGTGTGAATAACATTGTAAGGACTAAGGAGTTTGATTTCTAGAGTTGGGATTATGTGTGTTTCTATTGTCCAGATTTATGTTGATGGAGTTTATTTTATTCGGGTCATGTCCTTAAATTATTCCAAATGAACAAAATAATTTTAATGATTACTTTTGTATATTATACGTATTGACACACACACATGCCACATAATCAATAGTAAAGACACATTCATGATTTTGTCATATATTTCCGTGACAGTCCATAGTAAAAAATAGAAGTTGTTTACTTGTTTATCTATAAAAAGTGTATAAAGAGTGCACATCAAGAATTATCCTGATATTTTAACCAATTCTTGGGAAAAAATCATCACATGGATGTTTTCATGGAGTGTTTAGTAAGGAATTAAGGATGATTTTATTTAGACCGAAATTTGTTGGTCTGATCTGGTTTGGTAAATGTCTGAAAGTTTGATCCGTTTAATTCTGATCTAGTCTGTTTAAGTCGGTTGTAGTCTCGGACTTAAAAAAGCCCAAGTAAAACAAGAAACATCCTAAGTACTCGTGACTTTTTTTACTTTTTAGTTGTCTATCAATCTCTCATTAATAAATGGATCTGCAACTGTATGTATTAAAAAAAAATCAGAGTCTAAGACCATAACGTACAGTATCTTACCATTTTTTACATGATCCTAAAAACTGGGTATATAAAAAGAATATTGCCCAAATTTCATTCCATTTTAATTTGCAGCTTCCAGGACTGAAGAATATTTATCGCAGACAATTTGTGTGGAATGCCCCACCTTCTGCTTGAGCTTGTGATGTCAAACAACATAAATACCTTGGAAATGCAATCCAATAAGCACATAAAGAACAAGGGCAAACAAATATGGCCGCATATCAACGCCTGCTGATGTTGCTCTGCATAAAGTTTAATTGAAGTCAATTAGTGCCCACATATATAGCCGCGATCTTTTTGCTTGGACTGTTTTCAATTTCAGACCAGTCCAGACTTGACAGCAATCTTTTCTTAGTAGCTCATTCAATTAAGAGGAAACATAAATTCTTCTTGTTTACACTTTACCTGAACACTGAGGAGTCGGTTGTTAGCCCGAACCCAAATGGAAACAGTGGATCATACTGCGAGTCACCCACATTAATTGGGAGTTGATCCACAGTTTTAAACCACGTTCTTGAAAGCCGTCCAGTAAAACCAAAGTCACCAAAGAGGACATCAGTCACCCCTTGACCTTCCGTGCCAGGTAACCAGGCTGCCACAAGTGCATCAATGGATGAAATGTAAGGTTGGATCACAAGCGGGCGACCAGATATGATGACCACAACACACTTCACTGATCCACAGACATTGGTAATGACAGCAGGCCCAGGGTCTGGTATTTCAAGGGTTTGACTGTCCCCTTCCAGCTCAGCATAAGGGTACTCACCAACAACAACAATGGCATAGTTGAAGCTGTTGGATTTCAAGAAATCAGAATCAGGATTCTCCCTGTAAACAACTTCAGTGTCTTTGTCTACTGTGGAGTGTATGGCATTAAGAATGTTTGTTCCTGTGAAAGAAAGCCTTGAGTTAGCTAGGTCACTTTCAAACACCAATGGGACTTAAAAGAATGACAAGTGATCTAGCTACATGCAGCGAAGGAAGAAACCAAACTGCACATTAATATAATATTGTCCACTCGCTGCATTTCAAACATCGACGGGACGTAGCAAAATGACGAGCGATCTAGCTACATGCAACAGCAGAAGAACGTGATATGGTTACTAATAATAGCAAACGCCACATGAACTCCACACTAGGATGATATTTTCAGTTTCGGGTCAAGCCCACACGCATTTGTTTTTGCAGCCTCCAAAAGGGCTCATACTAATGATGTTAGAACTTAGAAGGATACTATATTCAATGATATGTTACAATTGCAAGTTTGAGACTTTGATGGGGGTTGAAAGGGTAAAAAAAAAGAAACATACCCCGTGTACCGTTATTCCCACTAAAACCTTGCCAATTAATTGTCCATCCACCACATTGGTAACCCAAGTTATCAGCATGGCTACCAGCAACCAATATTTTGGGCACTTTCTTGGGAAGCGGTAATAATGAGTCGCTCGCGGTTTTCCCATTTTTCAGCAGTACAAGTGACTTTCTAACTGCTTCTCTTGCCAGATTCCTGTGTTCCTGTTTAGATATCATTATACCATTCATTTCGGAAACTGATAAAGGGACAGCAAAGAAATATAGCCACATACACTTTTAACAACCGAAAATCCAAACTTTTAGCATCACAATTCACTTACTGGTAAATAATTTTATTTTGCAACATATAAAGAAAAGATCTGATTACCAATAGAGAAGCCATCAACCTACCTGGCTTCCAACCTCTTCTACCAAACTTAGATCAGCATAGGGGTTTTCAAAAAGTCCCATTGTGAACTTAACTAGTAATATCCTCCCTACTGCATCATCAATGCGATCCATTGGAATAATTTTGCTCTTTACAAGGGAAGTGAGATCATCCATGAATTCTTTATAATTGAAAGGCACCATAACCTGCATGGAATTATAATGAGCAAAAGTGACTAGAAGCTATTCTAATTTTCATTTACTTTCTTTTCGACAAGTGTTTTTGTTGACTAAACATGCACAAAATAGTCTTGCAGTGGAACAGAAAAGCCGTCAACCTACCATGTCTATTCCAGCTAAAATGCTAGCTTGAACTGAGTATGTGTAGTTTGAATGAGCTGGAGAAGTAATCCTGTCAATAGCCAGCCAGTCTGATATAACAAATCCCTGGTGGTTCATAATGATCCATTAGAAATAACATCAGATCTAATGATTAGAACATACTTGATCTTAGACAGAACCAAGGATAAATTCAAGGGTTTAGGAGCATTATTATATTTGACTTAATGTGAAGGTCAAGATCTTTGTTTACCTTGAACTTAAGTGTACCCTTTAGGACCCCAGTGATTAGGTCACGGTTTGCATGCATTTTCTTTCCATTCCAGCTAGAGTAAGAAACCATGACTGTTGCGACACCTTTAATGATTGAATCAGAATAGGCAGGCATGTGGATACTCAGTAAGCTGTGCATGTCTGTTACGGTGTTATTCTCATCAATACCCTTAGTCGTGCCTCCATCACCAACAAAGTGCTTTGCACAAGCAGCAACCTTCTTTCTGATATTGGAGGAAAGATGAAGCTATTGGTCTAGAATAGCAATCTCATAGAAAAAATAAGAAAATGTTAGCATCAGTTTTAATGTATTATTTTGAAAGTTTCCATACTTTCCATCAACAAAAGGAACACCCTGAGTTGAACCATTGGGAATTTCTCCTTGTAGACCAGGTATAATTTCTGTCATCTCTTGTACAACCTTTGGGTCTTCGCTATAACTTTCATAACACCGGCCCCATCTAGGATCTCTGCAAACCTAAGCACAACTTGCCACATCAAGCCTTTGAGTAACAATTCAAATACATGTTTTCTTAGTGCAATAGTAAGGTAATTTCTTAAGTTAAATGATTTCTTTACTGAACTTACCGCAATGCAAGGAGCAAACACATAGGGAATCCCTGTGGCTCTGACTTCAAGGGCAGTAGCTTCCCCAATTCTCCTCAGAAGTTTAGGATCCCTAAATATATTAATTAAAAATTTAATTAAATTCCATACCTCCTTATAAGTGAAAAGTTAATCAAATAGTGTGGGCACCACAAACCCAAGCGAACAAACATATGTCACTTGGATGATGTTAAAGGATAAACCTCGTAGAAATACTATTGTCTACAATGAATTAACCACCTCAATAGTACCAAGGTTAATGATTTTCTTCAGAAGTAACATTATGTGTTTAGGGCCTTTAGGCAGAGCATTAAGGCAAAATCTAGAATGCATGAAATTATATTCGGAAAATTACTAAGTTATTTCTGGATGTGTTTATTATATGGCATGGAGCCTCAGTCCAAAATAAGATTCCTAACTTGCCTAGTAGCTCCAAGCCCAATATTATGAGGAAATATGGTGGCATTATAAACATTATTGTGTCCATGAACAGCATCAATTCCGTATATCATTGGGATTCCGAGACGTGTAGATAGCGATCCCTTTTGAAAGTTATTGATCATTGCAACCCAATCAGAAGCAGTAGCTTCAGGAAGTGGTATACTCCCTCCTCCACTTAACACGCTGCCTACAGCCAAAGAAACAAGAATAGTTTTATTCAGTTTGTAAACTTGATACTCATGGTGGGGGATTTACAGGTCACAAAGGAAATCATTAATCCTACATCCCCAGTTCCCCCACTCTGGGTTGACATGAAACACAATTCTGAAGAGGTAAAAGAACAAATCTATAAATAATGGGCTGATCTTTATTTTCTATTATGTAAATAAGTATTTTGGGCGTAACTACAAAAATGAAAAGGGAATCAATGCTATCATCAAGAATAACAATCACCAGAGTCCAGACTCCAGACACATATAAGTTACTCCATTTATATATAAAATAACTTGCAACAATGTATTGTTTGCTGATAAGCAGAATAATCCAAATGCAATCATAGTATCATACTAACAAATTAAGAATGGTCAAGTAGAACTGGTTAGTACCAATGAAGTAGTCCCTCATGACCTGAGGGGAAGCAACGCTCCGATCAATCTGAACCATCTGACCAATCTTTTCCTCCAGGGTCATCCGTGCCAGCAGATCCTTCACTCGGTCACCCACAGCCTGCTTCGGGTCCATGTACATGACGTAATTCTCTTCCGCCATTGCCGACCTGCAGCTCCAACATATGACCAACATCCCCACCCACCACCACGACATCATTGCGCATCGAACTCTACTATGAATAGCCATTGCTTTCTCCAACTCTGAGCTAATCAAGATTACAGCTTTAGCTACCGATCCATGAATACTGGGCCAAAGGGCACTCTAAAAAAAGCAGTGTATAACTGTATGTGCAGATACAGCCAAAAACGGGTACGGGATATGGAAGTGCTGCGTGGAAGAGTAGTGGGATTATAATACTCTGTTACTAAAAAAATCCGAGTAATAAATGATAAACTAACAGGCCAAAAGGAAAGATATTCTTTCGGAAATGGGTGGAACGTGGGCGGGATAAAAACGATTTTGAGTTCTGGTCCACTTTTTGCGGAGTAGGTGGCTTTAAAACGGTGCCCGCAGAATCTTGTTCCTGAGATATGTGTGATTAGGGAGATAACTTCGTATTATGTAAAATCAACATTTTTTTACCAAAAATGTTAAAGTTAAACCTCACATATGGATAATAACAGGGCCGTCTCTAGGAGTTTTGGTGTCCCAGACAGAGAATGACTTATGAGATAAAATAGAAATTAAAATTAATAACAAAATTAAAGATGAAATAATTAGAATAAAAACAAAAGACTTTGTTTTTTCACATTGGGTAAACTAATCATGGGCGGTCGTATTTTTTACCATTTGTTAAACACCGAGTATAGTGTTTGTCAGTAAAACTCTGTTTTTTTATCAACATGATATCATGACCAGTTATTTTCATTAGGCCCCTCTCAACTAAGAAATCTTTATCTTTTAAGAAATATGTATTTTCCTGTTAGTTACCCGGATCACATAACTCGGTCATATCAAGAGTTACAGGCTACACATCTACAATATCATTCTGAACATCAGCATTCACCTCCTCATCATTTACAACACATCGATCTACCCTCATCTTTTTTTTTAATTTCATTCTCAAATTAAACACCAATATTTTCATTCTCATCTTTATCATTTATGATTTATGTAGGGATTTTTGTTTGAGGTTGATTGAAAAAGTTTTGTTTTTACATACCTATCCATTGCGCCCGCAAAAGACTGCATTACATCATCTTTTCTTTTCTTAAGTTTTTTCTTTGAAGCCCCTAACTTTTGTTTTCGTTTCCCCGTCATAGTACACAATACAAAATAATAATTTAATCCTGATAAGTTACTCGTATATTACAAGTTAGTAAATACTGAAATACCGTGTTTTTGGGCTATTGAAATACCATTTAAAAAGTGCAAAAAAAAAAACAAATTTCAGACTAAATTTAATAAATGAATAACTTCGGGAAAAGTAGAGAAACAATGTAACACAAATATGTTTCATCAGGTTACCACAAGTACAATTTATTTAGAAATAGTAATTAATAAATTGGATTTGGTCATTTAGAAATAAGAATAACTCATTTACCACTTTCAGTTTTTAATCTCTATGAATTGTGGATTGCGGAAGAATTCAAGAAATTAAAATTTTAAATATAACGAATTATCAAGACTGAAATCTCAAATATGGATACTCTCGGCCGCTTTTTTTGCCTGACCGTATGCTCCGTATTTTTTAATTTTAAAAATCAGATATTCAGATGGGCACTCTAGGGTAATACTCCTAATTTCCTATTGGGCGCCATGGGTGGTTTGGGCACTCTAGGAGTATTAAATTGTTTTCTAGCTTTGACTTTTCAATTTTTGCTCCTGCGGCCGCTACGTGTGATTGGGAGTTGAATGGCTCTTTCAACTCTTTTGCCTTGTACGAAGTAAAGTAATACGGAGTAATATATTAATAAATATAATAGTGGTTTAAAAAAAATGATGCCCCCATGGAAGTGGTGCCCTAGGCCATTGCCTAGGTGCCTGCTCACCATGGCCGGCTCTGGATAATAATTTAATTTTTAATAATTAAAATTTACTTATACAAAAACTACATTAAAATCTTTTCAAAATTGCAAACTGGAAATTAGGAATTTAGGATATAATTAAGAAATGGCATCCTAATTAAGTGAATAAAATAAAATTGTTTATTCAAAAAAATCAATTTTGCAAATCAATTTGGTACGCAAGTAGTAGGAAAGTTTCACTGTAACCCTCTTATCTAGAATTTATTAGTATTATATAGTAATAATAATACATATTAATACTAATGAAATAAAAGTAATTGACAAAATGTGACTCTTGTAACTTTAGTGATTATAATTCTATTTAAATGTTACTTTAAAGGTTACACATAGTAACTTATACTCACATTTTTGTTCATAGCTTCTTTTCAGTAATATTTTAGGGAAAATATCAACTCTAATCAGTAAAATATTGTTAGTAAGGAAGAAAATACATATTCATCATTTTTTGTCGGTCCTTTTTATCTTCTTTTACTCAAATTGTTTGAGAATGAGTTGTGTTCTTTAAATCAAGTATTAAATAACTTTTAGAATTTTTAATCACATTATTTAATGAGTATTCAATTTATTTTTGTAAATATTAATGTGGACCTTAATTTACATTTGAAACCGGCCTTCTAAATTCTTAATCGGCTCTGTTAAATACTTCAAACATAAGTTAAGTGTATTACTTTACGTACATCACTATTTGTGATCGTTTATGGTAGTGGCATGCTGGCATCTCACTTGTGGCAATCATTGTCAACAGCTTTTATCGAGTAGCTCATACTCATTATTTGTCTATTTGCCTCTTATATTATGTACCATATGTACAATAGGAAAAAATAATTGAAATATTTCAAATTTTAAAAGGGTGTCAAGTAAACATTTTTAAATTTGTATATGTAATTTAAATACTTCAAATTTTATATATAAAGTTATTTTAACATCATAGTCATGAATTATTTCTTTCCAAAATATAAATTTATAGTGTTAATTGCATGATTTAAAATATTTTGCATTTACGAAAACAAATAACATTCTAACTTCCATTGTGAATTATATACTATTAGCTCCCCCAATCTTTATAATTGCAAAGATTTTAATTTGCTATCTTATATTATGCAATTAACATCATAAATTGACATTTTTAAAGAAATAATACATAACAATTGTGCTAGTATAACTTTTTATATAAAGTTTAAGATATTTAAATCACATATGTAATTTGAGGTGTTTACCTCACATTCCTTTAAAGTTAAGGGTATTTTAATTATTTTTTTCCATAGTCTTATTTAAAGAGTTAATTATCCAGATATGACTAAAAGTTGGTCTGTTTGCACAAATTGAACCAAAAAATAAATCATGTTTCATACGACTAATTATATGTGTCTTGGACAAATATACCCTTTTAGCTACTGAAATGTTTTAATTCATCATAAAATAATAAAAAATAATTAAAAAACGTAAAAAATACTAAGAAATTAGTATTTACAAAATTAAAAAAAAAACGCAAAAAAAAAAAAAAAATCGCCGCCGCCTCTGTCGTCTCAGCACCACCACCTCCAGTCACCGGGGGGGTGGCAGATTTATGGCAGATTCAATGAAAATTTTGGTATTCTCAAAGAGTAATATGTCATTTTTTGGCATTTTCATAAACAAATGACATTTTTTTACACAGGTCGGAAGTGGTGGGTGCAGGGAGACAGTACAGGTGGTGGAAAAGGCATCCATATATTTTTAATTTTTTACGGATTTTTACTATTTATTATTATTTTAAAAATAAATAAAAAAATATTTTATAAATATTTTATAAATTTTATTATTATTTTCCTGTGACTTTTTAATTTTTTTACGAATTTATTATGAATTAAAACATTTAATTATGAGTTTTGACTACCGTTTACTCATATTTAAAGGAGGGATAAGAATGTAATGAAAAAATAGTTATGTTTCCAAATAGGAGTAATATGATCCTATTTTGAAATAAAAGAATGAGAAGACCTATTTTTTATTTTTGTCATAGTTTTACTCCTATTGAGGTAATTTCTATTATTTAAAAGGAAAAATTCATAGGAGTAATCCCAATTGTTGAGGTATATTCTTCATGATCCAAAGGTCCAACACAGTCAAATACAAGTAGATCCAATTCTATTCATGCCAATAGATCGATTACAACAGTATTGCCGAACGGCAATTCCGACCTTCTAGGCAAAGCTGAAAGCTATTGGGACAGCTAGAGAGAAGTATAGTGTTAATTGCTAAGAATACAAAGTTGTTAACCTCTTACAATAAAATAAATACTGTTATTTATACTATGAGTAAGTAGTTGGAGGGAGTGATGTGGCGACCCTGAGTGGATGTAACCTCAACCATAAAATCCTTCATATATGATGCATTAAATATTTAAATGTGTTTCCCGCCAATTCTGGCGTTTCCCGCCAACTGCCTTGGGTCGTTCCACCACGGGCAGATTGATGGAGTGTGAGAAAATAAAGTTAAGATAACGGGTTGTACGGTGCTGTCCGTGCGGCAGACTCCGTGCAGTTATCCCGAGCTGGAGATATTTGCTGACGGTCCCTGTGAGATTTGAGCTTCTTAGGGATATTTGCACATGCACTGGACCAGGACGTAATATCCCAACACCAACTATTAGCGTTTTTTCGATATTAATCTCATTTATTTATAATTTTGTTTTAATCTCATTTATAAGGACAGTCTTCTCTAAACAACCTCGTGACCTGCATAAACCTATTCAACAAGTCACACAAACTCACGTCCTATTTTTATTGGTTTTCATTTCTTTCTTTTTTCTTTTCTTTCATTGTTTCTTTTTTCCTTATTTTTTGGGCAAAAGATAACTTAATTCGTATTAAAAACGTGCGATCTAACACTGGGATAAGACTCAGAGTTAGAATCACGCTTAACATAGGTTCGACTCGCTAATTACGCAATGTGGTAGATTCCATTAACAACAATGTTGCATCTGCTATTAGAAGAAAAGGCAAAAATAACAGAAGAGTCCTGAGAAAACAAAGAAAAATAAGCAGAATAGTATCCAGTTTTTTCAGCCAGTGGCAAGGAGATGTTGTCCAGACAGTACCGCCACCTTCAAATTTTTTGAATCCTCATCATCTACATATATACTTGCTTGAACACCCTCTCACATTTACTTCTTTTGCAATTATTACAGGTTTCTCGATAAGTCATTGGCCCATCTAAGATCGTCTTTAGATAGTAGGACATTGGCCTCGTCCCTATTCATCTTCAGAAGCAGGTCATTCATCGTCATCGTCGTGGGATGAGATTCGATGAAGATCGAAGAGGAAGATAAGTCCAACGAAGAAGATTCTCTGGACATTCAAAATAAACGATTTGCGAATCGCACTCTTTCAAAAAGTGTGTAATGATGTTTTTAATTGAATTAAAAGTTTTTTTGGTCTGATCTGATATAATCTATTCTGATCTAGTCTACTTTAATGTGGTAGGTTTATGTTCTATATGTATTTA